ATAATTTATAATTAAAAAATTAAAATTATTTAATATTTTATTTTATTAATTTAAATTAACGGATAATTATAAAATTATTTTATACATTAATTTAAATTAATGAAAAAAATATTAAATGGTGTTTAAATTTTTTAAAAATTTATAGATTTAATATATGTATTAAGAGCTTTAAATATAATAATTGAATTGTTCAAATTCATAGATTTTGAGTTATTGAACAAAACAAGTTTAAGTAGGCTTACTATTAGAGTAAACAAGTCCTATATATATATATATAATTTTTTAAATGATGATTTAGTTAATTAAAAAATTGTGCGCTTTTATTGAGTTAATAATAATAATATAAAAGTATATAATTTGACTGAAATGTGAAAGATAATATAATTATAATGTCAATATTATAAAGGCTGTTATAAATATCATCATTTGTTACGATTATAAACTAAAATAAATTTAATTTGAATTTGAATTTAATATTTCTATGCACCATAACAATAATGCAATTTAATTTAAAAATAATTATGTAATTTTAAATAAGGTTTTGATTTATGTTTGAAGCTAATAACATTCTCGTAACAAAATATAAATTTTAAAAAATGCAAAATTATATAAAAATAAATAAAAATTGATCTCATTCATAAGTTGTGGAAATTACGTAATGAAAAAAGATTGATAATACATGACAAAAGATCGAGTTAATTTAGAAAGTGTAAAAGTAAATTTACAATTTTTTGATACTATGATTTTGATAACGGTATTCATTGGTTTTGTCGAGGACTCGAGACGTTGAAGGTTAACAAACATTGATAGTAAATTTGGTTTGATTAAGAAATAATGTCCTTGATGAACTATTAAATGAGTTGATATGATAATATTTAATTTCAAGTTTTCTTGGTAGAGCATGTGTGATGTTAAAGGCATAATTTGGTTTTATTTTTTACTAGTCCATGGTCATGTGCTTCCTACAAGATAGTAGGTTGAAGTCAATAAGTAATTAGGGTTAAAATCATATTTGGATCATGCTATTTGGTTTCCTTTATAGGTATTTTTCATGTTAATAGGATGAGATTAGGAGGGAAAATGACTCAAGTCAAATCTTATTTTATTTTATTTTTATTTTTAGGACAACACAACTAAACATAATTGGGTTAGGGTAAGCTTGTATTTTTTTTAAAGTGATTCAATCCAATTGTTAATGGATCGGGTAATCAAGTTGATTAATTGAAATTAGAATATAGATATATATTCTAAATTTTGAAAAAAAAAATAAAAATTATACATAATTAGTTGAAGTTTTATACAAATAATATGTAACAAGATATATTTTTCACACAACACAACACTAACAAGATTAATAGGATGAATATATATTAGATTATTAATTTAAATTTTAACTAATGTGTTAAGTTAAAAGACGATCATTAGATTCCTTATTTATTGTAAGTTTCAACGATAACAAACACTATATCTTTCAACAAGAAAACGCTTTCAAAAAGTCATTGTTTCAGATTATGTAAGACAAAGTAGCGTCTGCAAGACGAAACAAATCAGATGAAGTATACAATTGTGTGTCATGTTCTTAACGATTATATTTATTGTGACTAACATGTTTGAATTTTCAAATGAATGCTTTACACCTTAATAAATCGAAAGTCGTTATCTTGAAACTCACTCTGTTAAAGGTGTATAAAGGCATGTAGAGCATGAAAATAAAGGACAAAGATCCCAGATCTCACAAAAAAGGTGCAATAAAAGCATTGCATCCTTGTTGAACACTAACTTTGCTTCTTACTATTCCCACTTTGTTGCTCTGCTATGATAAGTAGTTTGATCTATCAAAGATAAAAATATGTTTTGGTGAAAGGCATTTATTACAGCATTTAATGCACCAATAGATACTTCATTTCTCTCTAAATCAGACAAAAGAGTAAGACAAAATAGTTCTATGAATCAGACTTAAGAAGCTACAACAGTGATCTCCTTCGAAGTTACTATATAAGAAGCTCTAGAACTCAACAGAAAGAGAAATGATAGACAACACATACAACATAGGAGAGAACCAAACACATAGAAAATCTTCTTCAAATGATCTCTTGCATTTAAACTTTTGTTGTAATCAGGTCTAAAGGAGACGAAAACAACAACCTTGTAATACCTTTATAACCATTGTTATAGGGTAAAGCATGAAGAGGCTTGTGTGTAAAAGAATACTTTGTGTTGAGCGTGGAGAGGCTTATTTGTAAAAGTAATACTTGGGTAGTGGCATAAAGAGGCCAATCAAAGAACATTTGTGTTGAGCCAAAAGTGGCTTGGTGAAAGAATACTTGTAAATTTTTTGAAAGTTAGTGGAACTCAATATGGTTGAATTGAGAATTGGACGTAGCCTTAGTGGTTGAGGTGACTCAGTATAAAAATTTATTGTGTTTATTGATTACTCTTGCTAATGCTTTGTCTGTCACATATACTACTCTATTGACTTGCAAACATGCGAGTTTTTAATATACACTATTCAACCCCCCTTTTAGTGTCTATCTTTTCTCCATAATTTGGTATTAGAGCTCAACCTTTAACGAGATTGAGCATCGAACCGTGCTAAAGGAAAAAGATCTAGATAGAAACTAGTGAAGGTCAATATCTACTAGAAGGAGCTTTTCTTACAAGGCCCCCAACCTTTAATGAAGAAGATTACCCATACTGGAAGGATCGAATATAAATGTTCATTAAGTCCAACCAGTATCCCCTATGGAGGATTATAACACAAGGTGATTTTGTTACCACTAAGCCTAAGGATCAATATACTCAGGAAGATTACAACATCCTACAAAAAAAAACCAAGGCGCACTATCTCATCGCATGCTTGTTGTCCTAAACCAAGTACAACAAGTTTTGTAGCTATTCTACAGCCAAAGAAATATGGGATGCCATCAGCATAACTCATGAAGGCATTGAAGACGTGAGGCCCAAAAGAGAAACTACTTTTTAGAGGCATTATGAGTTGTTCTCCGTGAAGGAGAACAAAACCATTGATGAGATGTTTGGACACTTCTAAAAAATTCTCAATGGGTTAAAATTCCTGGGAATTGAGTTTTCAAAGGTTGAGAATAATCTAAAGATCTTGGACAACCTACCTAAGATTTGGAGCTCAAAGCCATAATAATCACTGAAGCTCGAGACTTAAAGATCTCGATGCGTGATGAAATTCTTGGAGGTCTTTGAGTTCATGAAGTTCACCTCAACAATAAGGAACAAAGCAAAGTAAACAATATTGTTGCTCTGAAAAGCTGTGAACCCAGCAAGAAGAAGGAACGTGACAAAGCTCTCAAAGTTGAGTCTGAGATAGAAAGCTCAAATGAGAGCTCTAAGAAGTCTACAGACAATGGGATCTCCTTCATGTCTAAAAAGTTCAAGGACATGCTGAAAAAGAAGGAAAGGTTGAGGATCTTCAACAAAAAAAAAAATCAAAGATCCAAGACGTTGAGGTTTTTATAGAACAAGGATGTTTGTTATGAGTGTAGAAAGCCTGTACACATGAAGGCAAACTATCCCTCCCTCAAAATAAGATTGTCTAGCAAGAAAAAGACCAAGAGGAGTCTAATGGTTGCACAAGAGGACTTTGACAGTAGTAGTAGCAGCTCAAACGACGAGAAGGAAAAACATTTATCTGTTGGAAAAAATTAAGACAAATGTTAAGGTAAATTCTCAATCTAGCTCTTGTTCATCTGACTTTGACTCTAATGAAGAGGAAATGTCTTATGATAGCTTACTTGCTAACTCTCACATGATTTCTCTTGAGTATAAGAAACTTTAAAAAAAAAAACAAAAACTTTTTAAAAAAGAAAATCTTAAACTTAAGAAAAATCTATTGGAGTCTGAGGCATAAGTTAGGGGTCTCAAAGACAAGATCACCAATTATGTACCTCTTGAGATCTCAACATCAGAGGCTAAAAATACTTAATTCAGGAAGGACTTAACCAAGTTTGTAGAAGGATCTTCAAAGTTGAATGTGTTGCTAAGACATAGAAGACTTCCATCAGAAAAAAAAAATGGTCTTGGTTTTGATATCAGTCCTAAGACATTTCAAAAGAAGCCTAAGTTTGCCTTCCATGCTAGTGGAAAAGGAGTAAAACCTCCAGGAAGACAAAAGGGACATACTAAAGTAAATGGGACTAACATAAAAGGACCCAGGAAAATCTAGGTACCAAAATCTCAAATTATTCCTATTGTAGATCTCCTTGGTGGGAAAAAGGAAGAATTCAAGTTGGTACCTGGACAGTGGTTGCTCATGACACATGATGGGAGAAAGGTCTATGTTCCTGGACCTCTAACCATATGAAGGATTTGTATCCTTCGGAAGCGACAAAGGAAAAATAAAAAGGTATAGGTAAGTAGGTAATGAATTTGTACCTACTGTACATAATGTGTGTAATGCATCAGTGCCCACTATACATAATATTTTATATGTTAAAGGTATAAAATATAACCTACTTAGCATAAGTCAATTTTGTGACAATGGTTATACTATAGTCTTCGACAAAGACTCATGCATAGTCAAGTAAGATGATGGGTCTGTGTTTTTTGCAACTTAGAGGAAGAACAATCTTTTTGAGATTGATTTTATTAGTTTGAGTAAATAGAATGTAACATGTCTAGTGTCCAAAGAAGATGAAAGACAGATTTGGCATAAAAAAACTCAGGCATGTACATATGAAACATATTTCTAAAATTAGCAAGAAATGCTTGGAAAGGGGATTGCCTAAGATATCTTGGAAAACCCATTTTCTATGTGATGTGTATCAGAA